TGGATCCCTTTATTTGGCAGAGTTATTTAGGTTGGTCGTGCTGTAACCTGCACCCAGACTTACGCCTTTCATTGGGAGTGGCTTTCCACCATACGGATGTGCCAGTTTGCTTATCTTTTCACCTTCTGATGGACTTGCTAGCTGTTACTGATAAAACTGAAAGGAACATTTGTGTACAAGTCTTCGTCTGTACATGCTTCCACTTCTCTTGGGTGAATACCTAAGGTGCAGAGGATGGGGCATATGGTAGCTGCACCTTTAACTTTTGAAGATACTGCCAAGCTCTTTTCCAAAGAAGCTGTACTCTTTGATATTCCCATCAGCAATGAATGAAAGTTCCTTTTTCTCCCTGACCTCAGCAATGGGGTCTTTTTTTTTTTTTTTTTTTTTTTTGGGTGCTTCCACTTCTCTTGGGTGAATACCTAAGGTGCAGAGGATGGGGCATATGGTAGCTGCACCTTTAACTTTTGAAGATACTGCCAAGCTCTTTTCCAAAGAAGCTGTACTCTTTGATATTCCCATCAGCAATGAATGAAAGTTCCTTTTTCCCCCTGCCCCCAGCAATGGGGTTTTTTTTTTTTTTTTTTTTTTTGCGGTACACGGACCTCTCACTGCTGTGGCCTCTCCGGTTGCAGAGCACAGGCTCTGGACGCACAGGCTCAGTGGCCATGGCTCACGGGCCCAGCTGCTCCGCGGCATGTGGGATCCTCCCGGACCGGGTCACGAACCCGCGTCCACTGCATCGGCAGGCGGACTCTCAACCGCTGCGCCACCAGGGAAGCCCAGCAATGGGGTCTTTTAATTTGAATCTTTCTGGGGTGTGTCATTGTGACCCATTGTGGTGTCAGTTTGCATGTATTTCCCTGATAACCAGCGATGTCGAGTACTTGCTGTCTGTGCATCACCTCTACTGACGTGTCTGTGGAATATTTTTCCCACTTGAAAAACTGGGTTGCTTCTTTTCTTCACATTGATTTGAGAGTTTATTTATTCTGGATACGAGTCCTGTATCAGATATAATATATAATTTGCAAATATTCTCTCCCAGTTTTTATAGAGACTAGAAAGTCATAGTTCTTAGTTTTATATCTTTGTTAATATGTTGCACAGGATGAAATATGCACCTCACAGCATCCAGTGTGCAGGGAGCAGGGTCCAGAGAGAGCAGTGCATTGGCTGGCTGGGAAGGTGGGTGGGTCTTATGCGCAGGCTTCTTGCAATGGTGTTAATGGGGGTGGAGCCTCTGAAGTGACTTCCTGTGAAGAATGGGGATTAGAAGGAGAAGCCCGCACGTTGCCTCCACGGCCTCCCTCAAATGCCACCTTCCCTGCTTGCCCACTCTGCCTGGGACTGGGGCTCCCGGGATGCTGAACTTCCAGTGCCCAAGTTGGGAAATTTCTGGGGAAACTGGGGCAAGGTGGTCACCCTCTAAAATTTCAAACCACCCCCATCCCAACCCTGACACTCATATTCCCCTTTCCTGCCTTAACATCATCTAACAAATGACAGACTTATTCACTGTGTGCGCGTATCTCCCACCACCAGCTCCCAGAACATGGGTTCCAACAGGACAGGGACGTTTCTGTCCTGCTCAGGTCTGTGGCCCTGTCTCTGAGGAGCTCAGTGGACATGTATGGGATGAGTGACAGCTGGCCTTATGAGCTCTGCTCCCCACGTGCGTGTGGACCACCAGAACTCAGGCGCGACTGCTCAGAGAACCGGTCACCCTCCAGCACCAATGACGCTGCGGGTCCCAGGATTTCTTCAGTCTGGGCACCTCGGGAGAACAGAGGCTCAGTTCACTTGGGAGCCCTGTGGACCGCAACAGGCTCCATGCACGCCTGGCGGGCTGTGCGTCTCCGGGGTCTGAGATGCTTCCAGAGCCTCACGGTGGAGATTCCAAGGAGTGCCTTCAAGAAGAGACCCATTGTTAGCAGAAGCGACTAAGACGACGTGCTATGTCATTATCCCCGGATGAATTATGAGTTAGAATCTGAGAACGTCTCTCTATAGCAGTATGTCTCTGACTCCATAGATATTTTATTCACTGTTGGTTGGTTGTTCAGAGCAAGCTGGAGTGTGAAAAATTAATAAATTAATAAATTTATAAATTAATAAAAACCAGCCTCACTCTGGAAGGTAGCATCAGGCGGATTCCAACCGGGCTGCCTTCAACTGACGGAAGCGGAATGTCTGGCCCCAGGGCAGCCGCGAGCTCCCACTTCAGCCAACGCACAAGCACATAGCCACACGTCCCATTGTCCCACGGCCCCGTCTGCAAAGACGTGTGCGTTTTGAAGGGTAAGCGGGAAGATGGGGTGTCCCAGGTCCCCGTTGCCTATTGGAAGAAGGCACAGCCTCAAACCCCCCTAATTTATGAAAAGGAGGCACGGGTCTGGTTGAGAAGGGCAAGGAGGACGAAAGCCCAGAGTGTTTACAGCAGCTGGAGCCCAGACTCCTTCCTCCCTCCTTTTCCCCATGGTGGTGACCACAGGGGCCACGCACACGTGCAGCAAGGGTGTCCCCGCCAATCGTTCTCCATGGGCCCAGGCCCAGGAGTGGCTGGAGCTGCACCGCTGCAGTGTTTATCCAGAGACAACGGGCAGCCACTGCTGGACGAGAGGCGTCTGGTCAGCCCGGGAGGACAGCTCGCCCCCTCCTCCGTGCCGTGGCCACTTCACCTGGTCCAGCGGAGGACGCCCCTCTTCCCTGGGGTCAGCAGACAGCTCTGGAGGTGCGGGCCTCACGGGACACCAGCAGAGCACCGAGACCCCAAGAGTTCAGGAAAAGGACCACAACTCATCTTAAAACCCACAGTGGGACAGTCTCATACGTGCTTCAGCAGCAAACGCCGGGAGCTTGTGGGTCCTCCGAGAACCGGGGACCAAGCATCAGTCATAAAAGTGCCTTCCTGTCCACTGTTGCAGTTACAAAAGGCAGTACAGGAAAGTGCTGGTTGTGACACCCAGTTGTCACCGTACAAATAAAGAAACGGGAGTTCCAAACGACAACCCACCTTCGACTTTCCTGAGCAGTGCCATGCAGAGGGGGTGCAGCGTTAAATTCTCCTGCTGTGGGCTTCTTGGAAAGAGCAACAAGGCCTCGTCCACGTATATTTTCCTTTAAATACGAGCCAGCAGAGATGCGTCCAGATCGTGTCCTCAAGCCCCACGCGTGGCACCAGTGGAGGGTACGTGCAAACCCAGGATGCAGGTCTTTGGAAATGAGAAAACAATGGCATCATCAGACGGGCCTGTAATATTTCTGATTTCCAAGGCTCACAAAGTCATTTTCCAGAAATGTTTATGAAGGAAAATTCTGTCTCTAATAACTGCCATAGGTCTGTGGCATGTATTTTGGAATCTGTTGTTGAGCATATCCCCGTGGATTTCAGGTATATTTACACACATAAAAATGCAGGGTGATATGATGCTCTGTATCCAGTGGTGAGACAGCAACCCTCAGAAAGCTGGTCCCTCACGCTTTGTGTGTGTGTGGCGGGGCTGAGGCAGTGTGGACCTGGTGGACCACTGAGCACACGCTTGGAAGTTGGACAGAGCTCGGGTTTGAGTCTCTTTGATTCTAGTGACCTGAGTGACCTTGGGTGGATGGATAACTCTCCAATCTTCTCTCTTCTCATCTTAGATGGGACACCGCTCACCTCCGAGGGTTGTTAGGAAAATTACAATAGATACTGATTTACAGCTATTGTAGAACCGCCCACAGAATAAAGCACTTAATCCGTATCAGCCCTTATCATTCTTTTATTGATATGGACCACCGTTCTCATTCTACGATGATGAGCTACAATGGTTTCCAGTGAGATACAATGCACGAAAAGCAGAAAGGTGTGCTGGATGGGGGTGTTAGGGAGGGAACCCTAGGTCTGGGTGGCCCACCCTCCAGGTCCGGCTTCCTCGGCCCCTGGGCGTGGACTCCAGGCCCTGTGGCTCAACATGGGCTGTCTCCCGAGGGACTCCAAGGACGTCACTGCTTCGGCAAAGGTGTGCGACGCCCACTGTGTGCCCCTCCAGCCAGAGTGAGGCTTGCGAGAAGCTGCTGGGGTGTCAGAGAAGAGGCCTCACAGAGAGAACACATGAATAACAAACAGCAGAGCACCAGAGGAGCAGAATTTATGCCCAGAAACACCCGTGTGGGCGTGCACACACGCACACATGTCCCCTGGCTAGTGGTAGCGTCCACTCCCCACCGGATGGACACCAAGCCCTGGAGGGTGTCCCGTACACCTAGCGCTGAGGGCCCCAGTCTAGGGTGGCCTTGACTCAGCACAGACATTGGATGAAATCGACTGGTTTCCCCGTATCAAGGCAGGAGCAGGAAGCCCATCTTCCCTCCACCTCTCTGCCGTTCTCTGGCTGTCCTCTCTTTAAACGTCGGATAGATGTACAGTGGAAACGAATCCTTACAACTCTCTGGTCACCCACTGCCTCTTTCTTGATGCTCCTCTGAGCCCTTTGCAGTGGACTGAGACAGATTCTTTTGTGCCGGCTGTGATTTTCTGGAAGAAACTCATGCAAATTTCCCACAGTTTGCTTTTTACCACTCAGCAACCACCTTCTGCAATTTCAGGCCAAACCTCAGGAGTAAACAAAAGAAACAAAAGCCAGGAACTGAGGCAGAGGCATCACTGCTGAAGACAGTGATGGGATGGGACGAGTCTCAGGTGCCTCCGTCTCACATAAAGTCTACTAAGGAAGCTGTTTTCATATATCTGATGTACAAGTTAAACCTAAGAGGACAGCCTCTTACAATGTGGCTTTAATCTATTAGGTGGAACTTCTGGAAGAGTCCTCATTGCCCAGGTGACACAGGACAGGTGTGAAATGTGTCTCTTACCTGCTGTCCATGAATAAATGTGGTCACAAGAACACAATGCTTGGGGGGCACCTGAGACATCCCTGGTGATTCCAGGACTTCAGTCCCCACCCCCAGGTCTCTCTCCCAGTTACTACTGGGGCTTCCAAGGGACGTCTCCACACTTGTGGTCCCCATGGCTGTGGTTCTCAGGACTATGGTCCTCAGGGGCTGTGGTCTCCAGGGCTGTGTTCTCCAGGGCTGTGATCTTCATGGCTGTGGTCTCTATTGCTGTGGTCTCCAGGGCTGTGGTCTTCATGGCTGTGGTCTCTATTGCTGTGGTCTCCAGGGCTGTGGTCTCTATTGCTGTGGTCTCCAGGTCTGTGTTCTCCAGGTCTGTGGTCTTCATGGCTGTGGTCTCCAGGACTGTGGTCTTCGTGGCTGTGGTCTCCACGGCCGTGGTCTCCACGGCTGTGGTCTCCAGGACTGTGGTCTTCGTGGCCGGGGTCTCCATGGCTGTGGTCTCCAGGACTGTGGTCTCCGTGGCCGTGGTCTCCAGGACTGTGGTCTCCAGGACTGTGGTCTCCGTGGCCGTGGTCTCCAGGACTGTGGTCCCCAGGAAGCCACATTCTCCTCCTCCTTCTTCGTGTAGACATATTTCCTTCCACTGTTTTCCTCACCCCCGCCAGAAGTACTGTTGGCCAGTAACTCCCCAGCCGCCAGTCTGTAGGGAACGAATGGGGTGGTGGCTGAGCCCCTAAATAGAGAAGGCTCCTTCCTTAACAGTGTACCTCACACTATCACTGGGTCCCCAACAGCACAGTAAATATACACCCGACCTTGGATCAGACGACTGAAGAGACATGTGCCTTAGACTCAACTTAGGTGGCTCCGTGGTGACTAAGGACTCCTGATTTGAAGTTGAACAGCTTGGACTGAACTCTTGGCTCTGCTGACACACGTGTCTGGCTTTGGCAAGTTAGCCGACCCCCTTCCTCAAGTGTTTCTTATCTCTGATGGGGTTAAAGGGAGAAACAAGCTCTGGGGCGTCATGAGATGATGTTAGTTGCTCAGCACCATTGGCATAGAAATGTTCCATGTGCCGGGGCTCTCAGCCTTTCCAGAGTGACAGCTCCTGGACTCCAGCTCTTCTGCCTCCACCTGGGGACCCCAACCTGGTTCAGGCTGGACAGAGGGAGGCATAGTGCTGGGCGTCCAGTGTTGAATTCTCCGCTCTTTTATTTCAGCATTCTTGAAACAAACAATCAAGCAAATGAAAAGTGTCCTTCCCCAATAAAAAATTTTTTAAAAAGAAAGCTATCTGTCCTGTGCATCTGTTCCTCCAGATGATGCTGGGAAGTTCTCGGGGTGGCGAGCTGGCATCTTCAGTCCCCCTTGTTTTGGGGGGGACCCCGGGGGATCCCGGGATGAGTCAGGGTCAAGGCCACACCAGAGAGTCTGCCAAGGTGTTGGAGGATGACAGAGCAGCCTGAGCTGCTGTCCGTGCAGGGGCCGTGGGGAGGGATGGCGACCCTTGCTAACCCATATATAAAACTTAGAACGACAGATGTGGTCCTTGCAGTTGGGGTCCATGACCTGGGTTCCAGCCTGTTGAGCCTCCAGGTGTTGGAGTGGTTGATTAGAACAACATGTCAAAAGGAAAGGAGCTTGAGGCTTTGCAGGGATGGGAACCACCGGCTTCCAGCCATGTTTTGGGTGCAGGACGCTCAGTAGCTACTGAAACTTGTTAATACTTGTAATATTCCTTATCTTCTTAGCTGGATCTGCTCAGTCTTTTAAACTCTAGAGCCATTTGGGAGCAGAAAGTGCTGGGCAGAAAAAACATGGCAAAAATTAATGAGCTAAGTTATTCTCTTCAGCAAATTCAAATCGGTGACTCAAAATATATTTCAGCAAAGATGTTTAGGGTCATCCTTCAAAATTGCCTTGCCTTACAAAATGCTGCAAGGTCACATTTTATTGGGCAACTTCCATTGCTGGCTATTGGTCCAAAACTCATGATATAGAAGAATATTACCTGTACAGTAACATCATTCTTCAAAATAAAAGAAGCTAATTATCTTAATTTGGGTATGGATTTAAATTCATTCATCCAGAATGTCCCTAAATGTCGGACTGTTGATTTGAAAAATCATCTACACTCTTACTTAACCCAGATTATATCGTATGTAAAGTCTATTGCTTAGAGTTGAAAACATGATATTCCAGACCCCACGTAACATATTATTATCATGTATAGACTCCAGGCACTCAAGGGAGGGGTGCAAATCTCCATGATTCACTTTAATGAAAGAG